CATTCATTTATGATTCTTCTTATATCTGCATGCAAAGTCTCAAATGAAAGTTTCATACAAACTTTCATTCCCTATTTTATCCCCTTGGGGGTAGAATCGATCAAAATCCTTTCTTAGCGGATGCCTACGTCATAACATCTACCTGCACGCCAAATTTCAGCACGATCCATCCAGTGGTTTGGGCTGTGCGTTGATAGATCACTATGTCAGGCAGTCAGTCACCTTTGAGTTTTATATAGATAAATAAACTTAATAAACATAACACTTTCATTAGCCAGAAACGTGGTTATTTCGACTTTTTTTTCGATCATGTACAATGGTACGGAATCTTTGGTAGCTTCGTCGCTTTTAAAATTATTTTTCTACTTATCATTACAAAACAATTCGATTAGGAAACAAAGCGACTCCAGAATTCCTAAGTTACTAATGTCTGGTGAATTTACTAATGATATTTGCCGTAATGAGGGTGACTTATGACTAACTCATGGGTTCCTGTAATTTCATTACTTCCTAAGTACTATTATATAAGACGGGGATCTTTCGATCATTTGTTAGTATGATAAAGACATCGTTCCTATGAAAGTGGTGTGGAAAAAATGCTTATAATTTAAAAAATAGTGAACATACCAGTTAAAAGTGTTTTTACAAAGTTAACACTTTCTTTGAGTTAACACTCAAAGAGTTGTTTTACGAAGTGTTTTAAAGTTTGCTATTATGGTGACCACGAGGAATGTTTGTGTAAGTACAGTTTCAAATAAATTTGATTTGATTTTATTTATTTGTATATTATTTTAAGCATTTCGAGTCCTGTTTGCTGCCTGGTCCGCGTGGATTTTTTTCTAGTAAAATTTTAAATTTACTTTTTTTTAAAGCATGTAATTGCTTGATGTTTAAATCTAAAGAAAATATAACTAGAAAAAAAAATTGACATTGTGGGTCTACCTATAATGCGAAGAGATGGCGCTGCCTTGCAGCTTAAGAATGGCTAGAAGCATTCGCCCGGATAGCGAAGGGTGCGGGTTCGAGTCCCGTGTGCTGCCTGGTCTAGTTAAATTTTCTTTAGATTTAAATTTACTGTTGTTTATTGATAGAGATTTTGATCACCTACGGTGTGGTATGTTACTAGGTAATTAGGCCGGTTGCCTACTCAGAGGTCCTTGGTTCGAATTTCGGCGGGACAAATGATTTATAGTATTCCGATGAATACGAGCGTTTGTACCTAAGTTGGTTGTTTTTATATCTTTATATATATAATTCTTCTGTGAGTGTGTATGTCACTGAACTTCTCTTAAACGACTGGACCGATTTTGATGAAATTTTTTGTGTGTGTTCAAGGGGATCTGAGAATGGTTTAGATTCACAATTTTGTCCGCTGGACAACCCCTATTTTTTTAGGGCGGTATGAAGTTCGCTGGGTCAGCTAGTATTTCTATAAAAATATACCCACGCTTATACGTGTCATTCTATGTATTGTTTTATTATTAATTATTTTAAGCAATAAACTGCGATTTTTAACCGACGAAAGAAAAATTTCTCAGATTAAAACATCTAGCAGTTAAATGCTTAAAATTCAAATAGAATATAACAAGTTTGTGTTGTTATAAGAATGAGTAGTGTTTTTTGAAGTTAGACTATTTCTTTCATAGGTATTGGGTGGGTGGTTCGAGCATTAAATAGGTTACCTTACAAAAAAAATCTACGAGGTTTTGATATTCTTCAAAGTACCTTTTAACTCCACTATTAGGGGTGATGACGGGGTACAGTAAACGAAATTCTATTTAGTTAGATGATCAAAAAATAATGGACACGTATTTTTTCTTTGGACAATCAACTAAAAAATGACAAAGTTATAGCGCGTCAAAGTATGGGAATAGGGGCTCGTGACGTCACTTTTTAGTGAATTTTCACTTAAAAGTTTAATAAAACGTAACGTCAAGTGACTTTTCAAATCAATATATCTCTGCAATGTTTATAATATGTGAAAAATGAAAAAATACGTGTCCAATACTTTTTAATCTACCTGATAAACGAAGAAAAAATAATTAGTCATCATCCCTATTACACTATGAAATGAGAAAGACATTAATTTTCGATTATTTACTGTATTAGCATACTGTATGTTCGTGAAGATCACATAAAAGTGGTTTTCACCACGTGTTAAATATTTTTTTACGGAAGTTTTATAATATGTAACTACACATTATTAAAACTATTCAAAACGAAACAAAGCCAGGGCGGAAAATTTGTTTATTATACCTTATATGTAAGACCGTACCTAACATTAGAGCATTTACGTAATTAGAGAGATTTTAAGACAATAATTTCGTTCAACATCATCATTAGGCCTTCCCTATGGATGGAATAGGAAGATTGGTCCGTGACCCACCACGCGGCCTCACTGCCTATTGGTGGGTGCTAAAGACTGCAGATGCAGCCGAGTCCAACGGCTTAACGTGCCCTCCGAAGCACGGAGGACTTCTAGATGTAAAATTTTGGTCACCCATCCAATGACCTACCATTGTGACAGTTGCTTAACTTCAACGATCGCAACCGAACGCGCCAGCCACTTGCGCATCGAGTAACTCATTATTATTTCGTTCGTGTTTAATTTAAGAGCCCTGTAAACGATAAAATATGCTTATCTTATTAACGTGTGTGTTAAGTCTTATGTTTGATACGCTTGACAAACATATTTGATCGTTATGATTTTATTTATTTTTTAAGCATTTACACTGCTAGATGTTTAAATCTAAAGAAAAGTTTACTAGAAAAAAATCCACGCGGACCAGGCAGCGGACGGGACTCGAACCCGCATCCTTCGCTATCCGGGCGAATGCACTGACCATTATGCTACCACGGCCCTATTAGCCGCGTCGATATTTGATCGTTTACAGGGCTTTTTAGAAAGTTAGCGCTAATGACTTTTGTAAACTTGTGGTTTTATTTGTCTGCTATTTGGCAACGACGAAACATTAACTTTATTTCCAATAGGGATGATGACTAATTAGTCATCAAAAAAAGTCCAGTCAAGTAAAAAAAATTTTTTTTTCTTCGTTTATCAGGTAGATTACCAAAAAGTAATGGACACGTATTTTTTCTTTTTTCACATAATATAAACATTGCAGAGATATATTGATTTGAAAAGTCGCATGACGTCACGTTTGAGTACACTTATAAGTGAAAATTCACTCAAAAGTGACGTCACGAGCCCCTACTCCCAAACTTTGACGCGCTATAACTTTGTCATTTTTTGGTTGATTGCCCAAAGAAAAAATACGTGTGAATTATTTTTTGATCATCTAACTGACGGACTAAATAGAATTTCGTTTACTTTACTCCGTCATCGTGCCTATTGCAATAATACTAATCCAAAAATTAAAATTAGTACCTGTCTTAAATTATTAGTTAGTTTATGACGATTTGAAACTTATATGTAAGCATTGTTTATAGTTTTTAAATCTCTGAACAGCAGATATTAAGCTGGGGACTGACTTATACTATTCGAGGCGATCTTGTTACAATACGGCGACACAGACTGACTTGTAGCGTATATTTATAATGTACTAGCTGACTCGGCGAACTTCGTACCGCCCAAAAGTAATTAAATTTGCAATAAATTAAAATTGCAACTATAATTTGAGATTTAAACCATCCTATCTCTCAAGTTGGATCGAACTGCACATGGTGTGCGAATTTTATTATAATCGGTTCAGTGGTTTAGGAGTCCATTGAGGACAAACATTGTGACACGAGATTTACATATATTAAGATTGTTCGAGCTCTTAGCTCGATTGTGCTAAATTAATCAAATTAGACAAAGCAAAGGTTGTGTGTGCTCCATATTTTTTTAAATTTACTAAGTTATGGTTATTCGGAAAACAAAATAAGCATATTAGTGTTATGCATCCATTTGTCAGACAAAGGACCCAGTTGAAAACCAGCTACAGGGCACACTACACTGACACAATGCTGAAATGGGCCCTTTTCAGCGCAGCGGATAATGGTGACGATTCTGGCATGATTCTCTAAATTTAGGACTGAACTTGGTATCGGTCTCTCCTTTTCATTCTCTATGGGGAGTGACAGGGATACACTGTTGTCAAGTTTAAGTTTGGATTTGGGGAAACGTGCCGGAATCGACACCGGTGTAGTACGTGTCTAGTTGTAGAATAGAATAGAATAGAATAATTATTTATTTGCATTTGAACAGGGTAATCAAGGTCATAAATAGTTACACATAACTATACTGTAGGTTTCACCTATTCAGCTATAGATCGTAGCATGCAAATTTACATAAGTTTTTTTTAAATTAATTAATACCATGTCACACAATTGAATAAAAGTTACTTAACAGGTCACAAAATAGATAGTCAAAAATATAAAAATTCGATTAAAATCAGGTCATATTAAAATTATTTTTATTTTATTTTGAGTTGTCTGTCCGTTTTATATTTTGTAAAATTATAATTTTGATTTGATTTGACATTCGATATCTAATTTGTACCAAACAAGAATCGAATATGGTGGTACGCATTTAATGAATAAAATTAAACTCAGCACTCCCTTGAAGGATGATTTCTAAGATATAAATCTATGACCTTTCCCAGAACTCAAATTGCGATATAGACATTACTGGGAGTCACACTGCGACCTAGATAATCTGAGATCAATCCAAAGTCTCTATACTTAATTTAATTTATACTTAATTTAGTTAAGGAACTTTCGCAATGGTCGGTCATTTGTTGGGTGACCACGATCTTATTATCTCAAGTTCTTCCGTACTTCGGGAGGGAGGCTCGTTAAGTCGTTGGGTTCAGCTACATCTGCAATCGTTAGCACCCACCAATCCGCAATGGATTCGCTTGGTGGGTCACGGTCCAATCTCCCTATTCCAGTCATTAGCAAGGCATGTGCCCAAGCAGTGGCGACATTGATGATCTGATGATGACAGAATATATAGAACTTCTGTTTATGCCTTAAGTAAGGTTTTCCAGATCTCCATGGGGTTGAAGGTTGTGCACAGCCACCAGGTGGAGGTACCACATTTATCTGGCACTACCACTTAAACTTTCCTTGCAAAAGAATTTCACTCAAAATCATCAACTAATTATTCTATTTATTAATGCTGATAATGAAGTATTTTACTGGGTCACCTATAAAAAACATGTCATTTAGGTTAGCTGTTAACATTTCCAATATAGTCTAATAATTCAGATTAATAAACGTATGTATATTTGTTTCTTTACAGTTCGTCTTATTAGTGGCGACAACAACGGTTATAACAGCTTCGGAAGACATCAATGATGCAAGAACAAAGAGGGATATTGCTTTCTTCAAGAACCTCATCACGGGTAAATTGTTTCATAGTGAAGGAGTGCCGGCCGTAGTACCTGAACAAAATTACAGACTGTTTAAGATTCCTGGTTTTAAAAATGTACTCGTAAAGGCCGTGCCCAAAGTAAAAGGACCTGTAGAAGAACCCTCACCAGCTGATGAACTCAAGATAGAAGATGTACACCCATCAATAGCATTAGTTAGTTCCTATTTGGGTACAAAAACGCTTAACGAAACTCTATCGGCACTGGAAGGTATGAAAGCATTACTCCAATCAGGAGTGCTTAGTGCGCGAGAAGGAACTGGTTTTACCACTTATGGTGTACCTGTTAATATGTCCCCATATTCCACTGAGACATTAGAAGTTATTGATATGGATGGAGATAGACCAGATTGCAAATTTCCGTTACTACAACATCCTGTCCCAATACCATATACACATGGGAATCAGCATAGGCCTGTTAAAATTCCTTTACCAGATTTACCGTATTCACCTAGGTATTCATACAAGCAGATTCACGGTAACGGTATGACCACTTATACATCTAATGACGACAAAAACGTTATTGTAACAGAAAGTAAATATCCTGTACCCTTACCGGAATACTTAAATAATAGATTTCAAAATATTTTAGCACTTGGTTTCCGACCAGCAGCAGTTGACACTGATGATCATTATTACAAATATTTAAATCGAGATGGTTCAGTTAGTATTTTTTCTGGTTCAGGCGTAGTTGAGAAAGGTAAAAGTCAGAAACCAATATATCCTTTTGATCCTCATCATCATGTAAACGTAGAGCCATCATTTTCTAAACATGATTATTCTAACAAACATTTACACCAATATAGTTTAGTTGGTTCATATTCTTCTGGGTCAGGAGTAGTAGAACAGGGTAAAAATAAAAAAAAACCTTTACCAATTTACCCTTTCCTTCATAAACCTTTGCCAGTTAGCCATATTCATGATCCACCAAAAGTTATAGTCGCTCCTCCTTTACCTGTAGCGCCGGTACCTAATGATTATTCTTACAAACAAATTCACGAAGATGGATCAGTTAGTACATATTCTGGGTCAGGTATAGTAGAAGAGGGCAAAAGGCCACATTTGCCAATTCATCCATTTACCCATAAACCTATGCCAGTTCTCCATTTTCCTGATCCACCCAAAGTCATAGTAGCTCCTCATTTACCTGTAGCACCGGTACCAAATGATTATTCTTACACACATATACATGAAGATGGTTCAGTTAGTACACATTCTGGATCAGGTGTGGTAGAAAAGGGAAATAGGCCACTTATGCCAATTCACCCTCTCATCCATAAACCTACACCAGTGGTCCATATTCATGATTCACCAAAAGTAATAGTAGCTCCTCCTTTACCTGTAGCTCCGGTACCAAACGATTATTCATACACACATATTCACAAAGACGGTTCAGTTAGTACGTATTCTGGGTCAGGTGTAGCAGAACAGAGTCAAAAAATAGCTTTGCCAATTCACCCTCTGAACACTAAACCTTTACCTGTAGTCAACATCCATGATCCACCAATAGTATCTCCAACTTTACCTGTAAAACCAATGTTTGTGGCCAATGGTTATTCTTACAAACACTCGCACCAAGACGGTTCAGTTACTAATTATTATGGTTCAGGAGTAGAAGTAGAAGAGATTAAAAGTCAAAAACTGCCCTTGCCAGTACACCCTATCCACATACCATCTCCAGTAGTTAATATTCATGAACTACCAAAGGTTAAAGTTCCACATCATCCTCACGAATCCCCTATTATTACAAACGATTATTCTTACAAACATGTACACCAAGATGGTTCAGTTACAACATACTCTGGACAAGGACATAAAATTGAAAAACCCGTAGTTCCCTTAGGCACTTTTGAACCATTAACACATCAGGTTCCTGCATATGAAGCACCACATATTATAGAAAGCTCTTTCATTCCAACAAAAGTACCATCTGTACATACTGATTACTCATATAATCATTTACATAATGATGGGACTGTAACCACATATTCTAATGAAGGGATGGTAGAAAATAGTAAGGAAAGGCCTGCTATTATAGTAGAAGAAGTTAGACATCCCGCTCCTCTACCAAGTTTCCTCGCAAACCGCATTGAAAATGTTGCAGCAACGGCTTACAAAGTTACCCAACCACTGGCAGTGATTGAGGAGACAGTTTACGGTCCACCAATACCTGTTTATCAAGAACCTCATCCAATATTATTAGAACAGTCATCAAGCTTCAAACCAAAGCCGTCGGCTCCGTCTTTTAATGGAGAAGTAAACATAAACGTGAGCGAACATAATAGTAAAGTTCCATCCGCATTTTCTTATCAAACAGTTCATCAAGGCGGAATCTCGACAAATCATTTTGCATCAGGATTGACGCAAGAAAAAAATACAAATGATAATGGGAAAATGACTCAGAACACCCAAGGCAACCAACACTATGATAATGATGCTGTAATGCTCACCAATAATCTGACTGAAATAGTTTTTAATGCAGAAGATTTTAGAAATAACACTCAGATAGGAATTGATTCTTCGAAAGCAGGTAAATTTTCGTTTACAACTGTACACAGAGATGGATCTACCTCAACCTACTCTGGTTCTGGAGCAAAACCACAGAATAAATTACCAGAACACACACGAGCTCCTGCGACAAGACGAAGACTCGTTAAAAAAGTTGTTCGTCGTCCATCTATAAAATCTCAAGAAAGTAATTACAATAATATAAATGAACACAAGTCGAATCATCAAATAGTTGATGGATTAGAAAAGATCGATGTTTATACTAAAGACTCAACTCTGACATCCAGTGATATATCTTTAAGTGCAAATCCTATAGTTGTGTTACCAGATGAACATATCTTCTCGTATAAACAGAATAAAGCAGGATCCTCAATCACTGTTTTGTCGGATAATATAGATAATGTTTCAGTTGTAGAAGAAAACAGGACGGATAATCCTGAATCGCATAGAGGAGATATTCCCGACGCATCTTATGAATTATTAACGGCTCAGGCTATGTAGTTCTTGATAGTACCTAAGGTTAAAGAAAAAAAATAGTCATTATGTATAGATAAGTATTTATTGTTAGTTGTTTTAAAGCTAATCATTAATTGTATTGTAACTAATTTATTATAACAATTATAAATCTTACTTTTGTATATAATAATACATTTATTTATTTTGTTCATCCCAAGCTTCTTATTTCATTAAAGAATTCTTATTCAAATCTCATTATTACAACAGTTTTAAATTCTCCTTAAACCAATTACAACATTTAATGTTAATTAAATTTACCACCTCATTATAATCTTTCTGAGAAGCTAGATTTACAGAATCAGCACCACTGTCATACTTCGATCATTATACATTAAGAATTTATTTCGATTTAAAGCGACAATTGACAAAAACAGCGTCAAAATTTCGCATTATTGGAATAGGTACAACATTTGAAATGGTATTATTGATTTAGATCAAACATTTAGATCATTCTTCTAATCTTAAACATTATTTCAATGCCAAAACACATAGTAGGTACAAGTATATTTAGGTACATTCAGTATTATCTAAAGAAGTCACATTAAGTAAAATTACATAGAAACTCTGTCATAAAACATTTACAATTCAACAATCTTGTGTTTTTATAAAATTTATTTCTGTTGTATTGTGTGTAATATAAGATAATTTATCCTAAATCGTATTTACTTTAAATTAGTTTGGCAATTTTTATTTTGCTTTTATTTACCAATATTAAGCCGAATGTGGTATAATTACAATTTTCAGTACAATTTACTGGCAATATAACAATTTTTACTTACTTCAGAAAACAATACAAACGACAAGTTTTCACAAAACTTTACACAAATTTCTTGTTACGAAGTATATTATACATACTTTCTTAATATTTTCAAAATTAGAAGGTAATTTTTAACTTAAACAAATTAACTAAACCAAAACAACTTTCTCAAAGAAAAGTCGACTGAACAATCCAATTATACAATAAGCTTCAGTCTAGCTTTAGCTAAAATTATTATTTTTAAAGTCATTGGACTAAATAACATTAATAAAATTCAAAGTAAAATTACCTACTTCATTTCCTTTTGCTTTTTTATAGTTTTACACATGGTGAATAGATGGCGGTGGGGTTAGTTTCAGTTTCATGCTTGAGTGACGTTCTGCTTTAGTAGCATTTATAAGACGCTGGGCTAAGCCGCGCTCCACCCGATAGATGGCGCTGAATAAAGTAACAGTTTCCCGAAAGGGGTGCAATGTAAAAGTGTGGACATAGGATTATAATGAATGTCGAGAGATGGCGCCACTAGTATGTGTAGAATGATGTGACCCAGTTTGAATCACACCATTGAACATATAAAAGATATAAATCAGTATCTGCTAGAGTTATTGAGACTGAGTCCTGAGTATAGTCTGTTTCAAACGAATTTAGACCAAAGGTAAATAAACACTTTAACACTCAATTCCCACGCAATGACTCACTAAATGCATTTCTCAACACATTCATTTAAAAAAATACCATTATTCATATTTGTAGAGTGAGTTGAATACTGTTGAACGAAGTAACTGAAGTGATTGCAGGTTGTTCAACAGGTGATACTGCGAGCTCGTTAGCCGACTAATTTAGATATTCAATAAATCACGAAAACCAATCGTTTAAAAAGAGTTGTATTAAGTAATGAAATACAGTATACTAATTATCTTAATATATATAAATCTCGTGTCACAATGTTTGTCCTCAATGGACTCCTAAACCACTGAACCGATTATAATAAAATTCGCACACCATGTGCAGTTCGATCCAACTTGAGAGATAGGATAGTTTAAATCTCAAATTATAGTCGCAATTTTAATTTATTGCAAATTATTACTTTTGGGCGGTACGAAGTTCGCCGAGTCAGCTAGTACTATTATAGTAACTATATTGCTAAATACAGTTAAAAGACAGAACTCTTTTTTGAGTAATGACGATAAAATATAACTTTAACAATTTCTAAGAATATGATATTCAATTGATTTTGATAAGGCTCTATGAATCCCCATCACTAAACTGTCTATGGTCAGACTTACCTACTTCTTTGTTTACTTTTGGTCGAAATTCGTTTGGAACAGACTATAATTTAGTTCAAAGATAAAAGCACTGCCACGACAACTAATGCCCAGCACTGGTCAGCATTATCAAGAGGGTTGTAATGACCCTATGATGAAAATCAACTAAAAGGAGATTTTTCTTTAAAAAAAAGTTCAGAAGCTCATGCTGTTACACAGGAAAAGTATACTATTACAACTAAAAACTGTCAAAGTCAAACGGCAGTGAGTCTTCTGTCGATAACAGTATCAAGGTAAATGGCAGTGTCTTCTGTCGGTAAAAGTATCAAGGTTAAACGGCTGTGACTCTCCTTTCGCCAAAAAGGTCTCAGATATAAGGTCTTATAGTCTAAGATTAAGGTCAAACGGCACTCTCTCTATGTTACGTAAGCGTGCGTCCCAACAGTGGTCGGTTAGCAGCGTCTTCCGGCGGCGTTCGATCAGCGGCGCGGGTTTGTTCAGCGTTGTATCCTAGCAATTCTCGCATAAAAGGAGTCTTCTGATGGTAACGCTATCAGGGTAAAACGGCAGTATGTCTTTTTTTTTTATTCGGTAATAAGTAAGCGCTTGACCATAATTCTCCTGAGGGAAACCAATATTATGGTCTACGATGGAGCGCGCTTACTTAATAAAAACCGGTTCACTCTTGCTTTGCTTGTCTTTTGTCGATAAAAGTATCAAGGTCATAAGGCAGCGAGTCTACTTCGACAAAAAGGTTGAGGTCAAACGGCACTCTCTCTGTGTAACGTAAGCGTGACGTCAGGCGGCGGTGCGTCCCAACAGTGGTCGGTCAGCAGCGGCTTCCGGCAGCGTTCGATCAGCGGCGCGGGTTTGTTCAGCGTTGTATCCTAGCAATTCTCGCATAAAAGGAGTCTTCTGATGATAACACTATCAGGGTAAAACGGCAGTATTTCTTTTGTCGATAAATGTATCAAGGTCATAAGGCAGTGAGTCTACTTGGACAAAAAGGTTGAGGTCAAACGGCACTTTCTCTGCGTAACGTAAGCGAGACGTCAGGCGGCGGTGCGTCCCAACAGTGGTCGGTCAGCAGCGGCTTCCGGCAGCGTTCGATCAGCGGCACCGGTTTGTTCAGCATTGCATCCTAGTAATTCTCGCATAAAAGGAGTCTTCTGATAATAACACTATCAGGCTAAAACGGCAGTATGTCTTTTGTCGATAAAAGTATCAAGGTCATACGGCAGCGAGTCTACTTCGACAAAAAGGTTGAGGTCAAACGGCACTTTCTCTGTGTAACGTAAGCGTGACGTCAGGCGGCGGTGCGTCCCAACAGTGGTCGGTCAGCAGCGGCTTGCGGCGGCGTTCGATCAGCGGCGCGGGATTTTTCAGCGTTGTATCCTAGCAATTCTCGCATAAAAGGAGTCTTGTGATGATAACGTTATCAGGGCAAAACGGCAGTATGTCTTTTGTCGATAAAAGTATCAAGGTCATACGGCAGTGAGTCTACTTGGACTAAAAGGTTGAGGTCAAACGGCACTCTCTCTGTGTAACGTAAGCGTGACGTCAGGTGGCGGTGCGTCCCAACAGTGGTCGGTTAGCAGCGGCTTTCGGCGGCGATCGATCAGGGGAGCAGGCGCGGGCGCAGCATCGTCTAGGGTCGGCGCCGAGCCGTCCGAGTAGCCGCTACTGCAAGAGCGAAGACTGCACGACGCGCGGACCTTGTTCTCTGTGGAACAAAACATATGAGGAATCAAACTCCTGAGTTACTAGAACTAGGTCTGACAATCTCTTATCTATTAGACAAGTCCGTCTGTCTGTGGTGCTGTTTCAGCGGCCAAACCGTAAGAGATAGATAAAGAGAATATGTAAGTTATAAGTTAAGAATAGTCTGATAAGACTACAAACCGGATTTGAGTAACGTAGCACTTCCGGTTTTCGAGAAATCAGGTTTTGGTGAACATTTGGTTCACTGGTTTGCTAGTACGTTTGTAATACAATTCAGCAGGACCAAGTTTGCTGCAAATAGTTTCATTTCTAGAGCATGTCACAGCTATAATAAATACTTCAGGGAATTGGATATATTTTGCTTTCAATTTAGAAATGAATGCTTTAAGGTCGTTTTACCCTGACACTTAGTATTTTCTTTTATTCACATAACTCTATATATTGTACGTAATCTTAAGTAAATTATGTAAGTGTATGATAGTTACAGTCTGTGGTTAACTTAACTGGTTTATGAAAAAGTAATAAGTGTTACTTAATTGAATTGTGTAAAACTGTATGTTTCCCAAATGAAAATAAATAAATAAATAAAACAAAGAACGAATCTAATTATTGAGTTGAGAGAGAGGAAAGCTCGATGGCGCAAGTTAGCGATGGCCTGCGATCGTTAAAAGATGACTCACTTGTGATATTGTCGATGTATCCCCTTGTGACGTCGTCCAGCTGCAGCACCTGTATGACGGGCGCGGGCTGCTTGTGTCGCGGGACTCACCAGTGATATTGTCGATGTATCCCCTTGTGACGTCGTCCAGCTGCAGCACCTGTATGACGGGCGCGGGCTGCTTGTGTCGCGGGACTCACCAGTGATATTGTCGATGTATCCCCTTGTGACGTCGTCCAGCTGCAGCACCTGTATGACGGGCGCGGGCTGCTTGTGTCGCGGGACTCACCAGTGATATTGTCGATGTATCCCCTTGTGACGTCGTCCAGCTGCAGCACCTGTATGACGGGCGCGGGCTGCTTGTGTCGCGGGACTCACCAGTGATATTGTCGATGTATCCCCTTGTGACGTCGTCCAGCTGCAGCACCTGTATGACGGGCGCGGGCTGCTTGTGTCGCGGGACTCACCAGTGATATTGTCGATGTATCCCCTTGTGACGTCGTCCAGCTGCAGCACCTGTATGACGGGCGCGGGCTGCTTGTGTCGCGGGACTCACCAGTGATATTGTCGATGTATCCCCTTGTGACGTCGTCCAGCTGCAGCACCTGTATGACGGGCGCGGGCTGCTTGTGTCGCGGGACTCACCAGTGATATTGTCGATGTATCCCCTTGTGACGTCGTCCAGCTGCAGCACCTGTATGACGGGCGCGGGCTGCTTGTGTCGCGGGACTCACCAGTGATATTGTCGATGTATCCCCTTGTGACGTCGTCCAGCTGCAGCACCTGTATGACGGGCGCGGGCTGCTTGTGTCGCGGGACTCACCAGTGATATTGTCGATGTATCCCCTTGTGACGTCGTCCAGCTGCAGCACCTGTATGACGGGCGCGGGCTGCTTGTGTCGCGGTCGTCGCGCGAGGCGCACCACCAGCGCGGTGGAGATCAGGAACACGCACACCAGCACCACCGCGCCTAACGAGATGCCGACGTCCTTGTCCATTACGACTGGAAATGGGGAGGTTTCACTTTAATTCAGTTGAAGAGGGAGTAGGAAATTTTGCTGAGTTCTTCTCTTTGTTATACAAGAAAGACTCTCATCATCATCAGCCTGTTAACGTCCCTCCTGCTGGGGCACAGGCCTTGGGCTAGATTGGGCCATGACCCACCACGCGGGCCCAGTGCGGATCGGTGGGTGCTGACGACTGCAGATGTAGCCGGGACCGACGGCTTAACGTGTTTTCCGAAGCGCGGAGGAGCTCGAGATAGTAAATTTTTTTTTGGTCACCCATCCAATGACCGACCGCTGCGAAAGATGCTTAACTTCAACGATCGCAGCCGAACGCGCTAACCACTTGCGCCATCGAGCTCCTCAAATTGACTCTACATGTCGTCAAACAACAAAAAAAAGAACTTACTTTCATTTATTTACTCGACTCGACTAACTAATCTTAAAATATGTAAGCACTGGTTATTACCAGATAAGTCACGCTTCTAATTAATTTTAAAATGTTTTATGATATGATAGGTGTGCGTGAAAACATAAGAAATAAGTATGATTGAGCGAAGAAGCAGTTCTTCGATTTCTTATAGCTACTTTTAAACTGCTACAATGCTAAGAGAGCTACTCTACATTAGCATTGGCAACAGCTGTACCTCCCAAAAATAAATACAAAGAAAGTATGCAAACCGATACTTACAATGCTACCAAGACGGTGAAGCAGCTAGCAGAAGGTTCTCCGTTGGTCTCAATAGTAGAGGCTCGGAACACCCATATCGGTTGAAAGCAGCTGCAACGGTTTTATCAGCAGGTTGCAGTGTTCCCAGGGCACCCCGCACCAACCACACCCCACCCCCTGTCATCCCCCCTAGGTACTTATAATGCTACCAAGGCGGTGAAGTAACAAGCAGTAAGTTCTGCGTTGGCCTCAACAGCAGAGGCTTGGAGTACCCGTATCGCTTCATCAGGAGCTCGCAACGTTCCCAGAGCAACCCACATTAATCGCAACCCTCTCCCTGGAAATCCTCCCTCACGGCTCCAACCCTGAGCCAGGGCTCGCCACTATGTAAATGTTAAATTGATGGGTACTTACAATGCCACCAAGGCGGTGAAGCAGCAAGCAGTAAGTTCTCCGTCGGCCTCAGCAGTAGAGGCTCGGAACACCCGTATCGGTTGCAGGCAGCAGCACCAGCTTCATCCGCAGGTCGCAGTGTTCCCAGGGCACCCCGCACCAACCACACCCCGCCCCCCGGCACCGCCCCCTCGGGGCTCCCACCCTGAGCCAGGGCTCGCCGCGCCCCGAACCCCATGGACCCTCGCCGCTCCAGCACCAGCGAGGAGTTGGAAGGACTCATCCGCCATACGGACAACTCGTAGTATGTCGCGTTGTCGACTGTGTGACAGAGAAGGATATTTGATTACAATAGGCAGCATTTATTGCTGGACAGTACAAGTAAATGGATGTGCTACTTAAGGTAGGTCAATAGAGTATTCTCCAAAGAAACGAAGATTGTTGACATCATATTATTTTACTACACTGTAGTTAGCTCGAGGAACTCGATGGCACAGGTGGTTACCTAGGAACTTTCGCAATGGATGGGTGACCAAAAACTTAATATCTAGAGCTAGTTTGTCCTTCAGAAGGCACGATAAGCCGTGGGCCCTGGCTACATCTACAGTCTTTAGTATCTATCAAACAACACTAGGCCCGCGTGGCGAATCATAGACTAATCTTCCTACTCCATCCTCAGGCAAGGCTTGTGGTCCAGAATTGAGGACATTAAAAGGATTATGTTGATGGGTAATTACTACTTTATCTACTACGACTCTCTTCCTTTAATCAAAATAATTCTTACCTGGCATGCATCGTATGTGGAATTCGTCGTGCTCAAAGGCCAAATCGCATTGTCGCGGCTGTGGAGGTCGCAGCTGTTCCAGGCTGAAGATGCGGACGCAAGGCTGGTCCTGGGATGCTACACCGTTGCTAGCCTCGCAAGTCGCCTTCAGTGTGCCTGAGAGAGCAAGAAAATTAAAAACGAGTGACAAGAAATGACGGACACGACACAACACTCAGAGTTGCGCAGCGTGCTATGGAGAGGGCTATGCTCGGTGTTTCCTTACGTGATAAGATCCAAAATACGGAGATCCGTAGAAGGACCGGTGTGTACGTCATAGCCCGAAGAGTCAGCATGCTGAAGTAGCAATGGGCAGGCCACATCGCTCGAGGATCTCGAGGTAAGAAAGGTCCTCGAGTGGCGACCGCGTACCGGACGACGCAGCGTGGGGCGGCCCCCAACAAGGTGGACTGACGGCATCGTCAAATGTGCTGGGAGCCGCTGGATGCGGATAGCGCAGGACCGCGCATTGTGGCGTTCTATGGGGGAGGCCTATGTCCAGCAGTGGACGGAGAAAGGCTGATGGATGGAAAGGAAATGGACAAAAGTACAGAATTTCAAAACCCGTTTAGGGAAGGGTAAAATAACACTACCTTTTGGTGGTGTTGTGTTTCTGTTACTGAGGTAAGTTCTAGGGCTCCATATGGGGCAGGGAATTGGGTTCATGATTTAGGATTTTTATTATGCTGTTCAATGTTTATATTAGAATGCTTCGTTTTTCACTTTTGCCAAAAACGTCTTTTGGTATTCTATTCATATTGTAGTGAATCCAGTACATACACCAATGACGACTGGCATAATGGACGATGTTGCCGAAAATAATAGTTAACATATATGTATCATAATCTTGTTATTTGATGGGTGACCAAAAATTCTTGTTCCTCCTTGATTCAGGAAAGCGTGTGAAGCAGTTGATCTTAGCTGCGTCAACAATGATAAACACTTATAAATCGGCTGATTTTATGGTTAAAACTAGCCTCGCTTCGCTTCGGTGTAGAGCTAAAGTGTAGACTACAGTTTTTGTTCTCAGGCTTGTATGCACAATGACATTCATCTATGATCCTTCTTATACCTGCATGCAAAGTCTCAGCCCGATCGGTTTAAAATTGACAAAGTTTCATACAAAATTTCATTCCCTATTTTATCCCCTTGGGGGTAGAAATGATCAAAATCCTTTCTTAGCAGATGCCTACGTCATAACATCTACCTGCATGCCAAATTTCAGCCCGATCCGTCCAGTGGTTTGGGCTGTGCGTTGATAGATCACTATGTCAGTCAGTCACCTTTGAGTTTTATATATATAGATATATCAGAGTCGTGGAAAATAATCGCAATTAAAATTTCACAGTGAATCTTGCTTTCGATTCTCACGCACCGCACACAACTGTGTTTAGTACGCGAGTCGTAAGATTAGGGACTTCGACGTAAACGCTATCCATTATCCATGACAAGGCAAGAGTTTCGCGACAAACGTTTAATTAATTTAAATTAATTAAGTAGGGCACCGCTATGTTGACACTAATGAAATAGTTCAACTTAAAGACGACTTTCAAATTTGCGTAGTGGCGTGCTTTGGGTATCCGAAACTACAAACAGACTTTAAAGACTTAATGTTGTTTGTAAATAAGAAACTACGCAATAACTGGCGTTAACTGAGGTTATTTACAATTCTCTATGCTATGCTGGTAACGAAGAAAAGAAAAAGGCAAGTGAGTTGACATTTTGATGCTTTGCTTCCCGGATCCCGAATGTAGCTAAATATGTTTTGGTTTAAATGTGACTAAACCAAATTGAAATGCAAACAGTGTGTCAAAAAATATAATAAAGCATAAAAATATTGATAGTAAAAAGACAATTAAAAATGTGACTACTAAGACTACTATATTACACGAACTGAGAGAAAACAAACCAAATAAATTTTTTGACCTTGAATCCCGACCTGAGAAAATGTCGAACGTTCTTCTCAATGCATTTGTCGATCGTCTTTTTGATGAGGACATCATGTTTATAACCTCCAATGATCTGCGGAAGCCTGAGTACTGGCAAGCCAATGGGGAGTTGCTGCAGCTCTGAACCTGACGGCTGCACTTAACAGAAGTACGTGTCTGTCTGATGAAGATCACGTCAAGAAGACCTGACAGTGGTTCAGTGATCTGTGCGAGCGTGAAAAGTGGTGAGCCGGTAGTAACATAATGCACCTCCGACCCTGAAGGTTGCACGTGACAGAAGAACGTGTATGTCTGATGAGGATCAAATGAAGATGATAGATAGATATCTATTTTTTTTACCTGTCAGTGGTCCAGTGATCTGCGCGAGCATGAGCAGTGGCGAGCCTGTGGTGAGGTGCTGCACCTCCGACCCTGAAGGCTGCACGTGCCAGAAGAACGTGTATGTCTGATGAGGATCAAATGTAGATGATAGATAGATATCTATTTATTTACCTGTTAGTGGTCCAGTGATCTGCGCGAGCGTGAAAAGTGGTGAGCCGGTGGTGACGTACAGCACCTCCGACCCTGAAAGCTGCACGTGCCAGAAGAACGTGTATGTCAGATGAGGACCAAATGTAGATGATAGATAGATATTCTATGATTACCAGTGACGGCGACTGCGAAAAGGAGGTTGTAAGGCGACCTCAGATTGCAAAATCGGCTGTAAAGCGGTTAGAAAAGGTTTGGAGGAACAGAAGAATAAGCAAGACGACGAAAGTCAAACTCATGCGGACCCTTATCTTTTCTATACTTCTGTACGCTTCAGAAACCTGGACGCTAAAGGCACGCATTCGAACCAAGATCGACGCGTTTGAAATGTGGTGCTGGCGGAAAATGCTAGGGCTTTCTCGGACAGAGCACCGCACCAACATTTCTATTCTCTCCGAACTAGGCATAACATCCCGCCTGTCTACTGTATGTATGCAGCGACTTCTTCAGTTTTTCGGACACGTGGCCCGACAAGAACCAGACAATCTTGAAAAGCTCATCGTCGTAGGTCATGTGGAAGGAAAAAGGAGCCGCGGAAGATCACCCGACCGATGGACTGATGCGGTCAAAGAAGTCTGCCAAACTGACATTCAGACATTTATCCGGTTGGCCGAAAACCGCAATACGTGGAGGGAGCTGGTACACCGGGTGCCCTCATGCTGTCGCGACCCTCAGTCATGAGGTTATGAGGAAGAAGAAGATATATATCTATTTATTTACCTGTCAGTGGTCCAGTGATCTGCGCGAGCATGAGCAGTGGCGAGCCTGTGGTGAGGTGCTGCACCTCCGACCCCAAAGGCTGCACGTGCCAGAAGAACGTGTATGTCTAGTGAGGATCAAATGTAGATGATAGATAGATATCTATTTATTTACCTGTTAGTGGTCCAGTGATCTGCGCGAGCGTGAAAAGTGGTGAGCCGGTGGTGACGTACAGCACCTCCGACCCTGAAAGCTGCACGTGCCAGAAGAACGTGTATGTCAGATGAGGACCAAATGTAGATGATAGATAGATATTCTATGATTACCAGTGACGGCGACTGCGAAAAGAAGGTTGTAAGGCGACCTCAGATTGCAAAATCGGCTGTAAAGCGGTTAGAAAAGGTTTGGAGGAACAGAAGAATAAGCAAGACGACGAAAGTCAAACTCATGCGGACCCTTATCTTTTCTATATTTCTGTGCGCTTCAGAAACCTGGACGCTAAAGGCACGCATTCGAACCAAGATCGACGCGTTTGAAATGTGGTGCTGGCGGAAAATGCTACGGGTTTCTTGGACAGAGCACCGCACCAACATTTCTATTCTCTCCGAACTAGGCATAACATCCCGCCTGTCTACTGTATGTATGCAGCGACTTCTTCAGTACTTCGGACACGTGGCCCGACAAGAACCAGACAATCTTGAAAAGCTCATCGTCGTAGGTCATGTGGAAGGAAAAAGGAGCCGCGGAAGATCACCCGACCGATGGACTGATGCGGTCAAAGAAGTCTGCCAAACTGACATTCAGACATCTATCCGGTTGGCCGAAAACCGTAGTACGTGGAGGGAGCTGGTACACCGGGTGCCCTCATGCTGTCGCGATCCTCAGTCATGAGGTTACGAGGAAGAAGAAGATAGATATCTGTTTATTTACCTGTCAGTGGTCCAGTGATCTGCGCAAGTGTGAGCAGTGGCGAACCTGTGGTGAGGTGCTGCACCTCCGACCCTGAAGGCTGCACGTGCCAGAAGTACGTGTCTGGTGTCGGCAGCGAACGCACGTTGCATTTGATCGTCTCTCTGATGAGCACCACCCCGCGCTCAGCGCATTCCGGTGGGTCTGCATGAAATAGTTTTATATTTGTTGAATTACTGTCTTTTAGCATTGCTAGGTAAAATAAGGTTGTGCTGTTTCCTATAACTGAAACAAAGAACGGGAAAGCAGCGTTTTCCAGAGTGGGCGTATCATCAAGTAAATACCCACCCACTCATCATCATCATCAGCCTATCAATGTCCCCACTGCTGGGGCACAGGCCTTCCCTATGGATGGAATAGGGAGATTGGGCCATGACCCACCACGCGGGCTCAGTGCGGATTGCTGGGTGCTAACGACTGCAAATGCAGCCGGGACCAACGGCTTAACGTGCCTTCCGAAGCACGGAGGAGCTCGAGATAGTAAATTTTTGGTCACCCATCCAATGACTGACCACTGCGAAAGTTGCTTAACTTCAACGATCGCAGCCGAACGCGCTAGCCACCTGCGCCATCGAGCTCCTCAAACCACAACTATTCTGTCAAGAGTGAACAGACGCATCCCCTATTCTATTCTTTTTAATGGCAATTGTGTCGATGCCAGTGTCGACAATTCTGCCAATATCAAAGTGATGACCAAGCGTGTGTTTGGTCAATTTGTTCAAAAACCTTTAATATAGATCTATAGATTCACTGTTAGTACGCTAAGAATGTTACAGCCATAGATAAATGATTGCTCTCGCTTCACAGACCAATCATTCATCTATGTTTACAGCATCACTTTTATAATCAAGCATTCAAAGTGATATATTGATGATTGACATTGATGTCTTTGACTTTATCCAGCATGTCTTACCATTGTTAAGTAGTATTGAGCATAAAGACCATGATTTATATGCTATTTCATTTCCATAATCACCCGTAAAAATCAATATTGTATATTTCATCATCATCATATCAGCCTATTAATGTCCCCACTGCTGGGGCACAGGCCTTCCCTATGGATGATTTAGGGAGATTGGGCCATGATCCACCCTGCAGGCCCAGTGCGGATTGGTGGGTGCTAACGACTGCAGATGCAGCCGGGACCAACGACTTAACGTGCCTTCTGAAGCACGGAGAAGCTCGAGATAGTAAATTTTTGGTCACCCATCCAATGACCGACCACTGTGAAAGTTGCTTAACTTCAACGATCGCAGCCGAACGCGCTAACCACTTGCGCCGACGAGCTCCACGTATATTGTATATTTAACAGTGTTAAAATTTTGAAGTACTTATTAGCAAATAATTCATAAGTATCCATCTCATGTTGTCTATATCTATATCTAGAAAATAACGGCATTGTTAATAGTAAAAACGTTATTACTTTACGCGATATTTAGGACATTCTCAATTACTCGCGCTTACAAAACCCTTAAGCCTTGAACCTTTAACGCGAAAGGAAATTGGTATCGAATAAAATTCTTATCATGAAGAATTACCGACGGTATTGCTCCCACACTTATCGGGGAGAGACTAATCAACGGCAAGCAACGTTTCTCAGTAAGTAATTTATTTCCATCTATTGGTACGCTGGCTTGTATTGAGATCGTGAAACGTTTTTACCTACTCGCTTTGAGTCCAGCAGAGCGGAGAAAAGGCTCGGATTAAGTAATTCGAATTGTAGTGTTGCGAACGAACACAGAAGTATCGATAGTGCTGTGATAGCAACAGTTTCGGTAACATAATAAAGATATTTTTTTACTTACATAACATCACGCTATATATCATTATAAAGCTTTTTTGACATCATAAAAAGGGTATTTACTCTGATTCTATGTGATTAATAAGGTTGCTTTCCAATTACAGCATTATAGCGCATTATGCGGCATAATGCTTAACGTTGAGTGTTTCAACTACAGCAACGCTTCGCATAATTGAGCACTCTCAAAAGTGATGCTTTCGTGTGATGCGTGCAATCGTACCAACTTAGAGACAGAAAATTAACAAGTGTTTTTTCTTTAAGTTGGCATTGATCGAAATGTTTTATTCATATGTTATCGTTTGTAATATTATTTATTGTTGAAAAATTATTAAAGTTTTCGTTTCATTAAATAGTTTTTTTAAATAATCAAAGTTCATTCAAACTGTTAAAAATAAATATAAGTATGGATGAAGGTACAAACATTGACTTTTTTTTTTCAACACTGAACTTAGCGCACTCTGCTGGTGCATTTGAAAACTAATTCACGTTCCAATTAAGCATCAGCATAATTCGGCATTGTGCGGCACTGAGTCGCATTATGCTCTCTAATTGGAAAGCAGTCCATATAGATTTCTGATATCGATTTTTCTTGTCTTGAAGTTATGTCTTGGAATTGGTTGGAGTTGGAGATTTTCCGGTAAGACTAGCTCATAGTGTGTAGACCATTGTTTACAATTTTAATTTCTCAATTATAACTGTCTGAAAAATACCTATTTGGTTCCCCAGTCCCGCGAAGAGTTTGTATATTAAGGAAATTACGGATGATTGTTTTTGATGTGAAACATCTATAGGCGCACGTAACGTAGACATATACTTTATTTTTTGTCACTCACTACGAGTTTTACAATTACGAAAACTATGATAGTTTTCGTAAGCTCGCACTCCTACTAAGGGTACTGGTTTTATTGTTTACGTTTAAATACAAATAAATAGCGTTTAAATTCTAGCATTAAATCATTTGCGTCTTCTTTTGACGTGACAACGTCTTAAATTAGGTTGCGGCTGGGAGTCACTTATGAAAAAGTGTAACGCTCGGTAACGTTACGATGAGTCTCGTAGCATGCTGGAACCCCGTAGCCGTGTAGCAAGTTTGCTACGAATCGTCGTAGCGTGGTTGCATGCTACGATGGTATTCACAAGCACAATGCATTGTAATATGTTTTTTTGACGTATTATATATATTTCTATAGTTAAAATTTGTGCAATTCTTATTTTCATTCAATTCCTTGTTCCTATTGTGCAATTTAATTATATTCATATCAATAAATATTCTACCGAGAAAAAGACGTTGTCACGTAAAATCTTCGCCCGTAAAACCGACTTTACAGGCAACCATTTTTTTTTTAAGAATATTTGGTTTGTTTTCACTATAATGGTCATAGAAACATGATTTACAATTACGAAAACTATGATAGTTTTCGTGAGCTCAAACTCGTACTAAGGGTACAGTAGTGTGTACGGTGTGGCGACGCGTCGTCGCCATGCGCAATCGAATTCGATTTTTGTATCTAATGAAAATAAACGTTTATTTTATTCATATGCCATATTTAGTTCCTATCGCAATCTGTTCTTTTCTGCATATTATTTTTTACAAAATAATGTCGATGTTTCACACTTGCCAGGCGTCTCGTGACGGCTCACTTTTTTTTTATTCGAGCAAAAGTTACCACAGCACATCGATATCTGTTATACAAACATCACTGGTCAAATGAGCGATTGCAGACTACGAAAACTAGTCCAGTTCTATTTGTAGAGTATTAGAGGAAAAAAACGATTAATTAATAACCTTTTGGATGTATACACTTGGCGTTCTTAAGAGATGAATTTCCAATGTATTGATCCAAACATATCAAGTCAATCACTTGAGAGATTAATGTAGAGACGTGGTACCAAGTATTGTTTATTTCTCAATAACGGTCTTACACAACGAAAACAAACAGATAGATAAAAATGGTAAGCATTATTTCAAAGTCACGTTATTTACATCCGGGTAATACTAAACATCATACATGGCTGTATGGGCTTCAAGATCCTATGTCTTTCCCGGCAGTGATAAATTCAATAAAAAAAATGTGTGGTGTTAAGAAACCACAATGAAAGTAAAGCCAGAAACATATTATCGTGTCATGTCGTGTCGTGGTGCGACAGAAGCACATCGGTTCCATACATTTATTACGGTCAGAGACATATTTTCGTGTCGTGTCGTGTCGACGTTCTAATCTCTCTCTCTTTTTCTCTAACCCATAATAAATGTATGAAACCGAAGCGTCACGACACGCCACGACATGTTAATATGTTACTGGCTTAAAACTTCGTTATGGTTTTTTTATGCAAACATAAAGTTTCAAGTACGTTGAGTGAAATAGGACACTTTGTAGGGTTTTAAGACTGAACACTTTGTAGGGTAAACGAAATATTCTTTCAGACAAAGTTGCGGGTATTCACTTGTAGTACATGCAGACTTAATCATAAACAAAGCCTCGCTTGCTTTATAAATGTATACAGAAAAGAGTTTTTGCAATGCCTTTATATGACTTTATTGCGTGTTGGTAAGCATTATTAACTCCATTAAGATGATACATATACCTGTACAGCCCCACGAACTTATTACTTCACTACACATTTAGTAACGATTCATAAATTATTATGTTTTCAACTGTATACCTAAAATTGAAATTATTTTATAATGTTTACAAGCCATTTAAACTTTTAAGTTGGCATAGAGCGCGAAAAATTCTCCCTCTAAAGTTACAAAACCATTAATTATGCAAACAAATCTCTTTTTAACACGCTTTTATTAGGTCCACTTTTATGTAACTAACTATGTAATGAAATCTAAGAATCCGAATTACACGCACATCTGATTCTTGTATCATCATGAAACTTTGCAATTATTTGTAGAATAGATGACAATACAATATTATGGTACCATCGAGCTGGTCTGATGATGGGAACGGAAGGTGGCTGATAGAACTTTGGACTGCCTACTAGTAAACATATCGAGTTTGGCCTCATTAGAATCGCCTTAATATATTCTGTTCATTTCTACAGAGGACTTGACGATGGACTGGAAGGTGGCTCATGGATGCTGGACTGCCTACTAGTAAACAAATCGAGTTTGGGCTTATGAGATTCGTCTTAACATAATAAAACTTTGCAATTATTAGTAGAATAGATGACAACTAGCAAACCAGTGAACCAAATGTTCACCAAACCCTGATTTAAAAAAAAACGTATTTAATTAATTGAGAACTTCGGAGATTTTGTGTGGTTTCGTTTGATATTCGTGATTTCTCGAAAACCGGAAGTGCTACGTTACTCAAATCCGGTTTGTAGTCTTATCAGACTATTCTTAACTTATAACTTAAACATTCTCTTTATCTATCTCTTACGGTTTGGCCGCTGAAACAGCACCACAGACAGACGGACGGACGGACTTGTCTAATAGATAAGAGATACAATAATGGTACTGTCGAACTCATCTGATGATGGAGCCGGAAGATATTTACTGTGTTCTTCTGTCTGTTTTCGCTTAAGTTTCTCTCGTTGAGAAAGGTTCCAGAGCTCCACGGGGTAGGCAACGGCGTGAGTTGAGTTATTTGTATCCCAAGCGTCTATACGCTATGGGGCCGCTTACCATCAGGCTGGCCATATGCTTAATTGCCATCCATATAAAAAAGCTATTGCTTACTCACAATGTACAGTAATATTTATGGCCTCGGCTCTAGTTTCGCCGACGGTGTTCCCAGCTGCGCAGGAGTACCGTCCCGCGTTCCGACGGGTAGCCTCCTCCACGAACAATTTTTGGGAGTGCACTTCGTCACCCCATATACTGCCAGAGGTTATCTGGTTATCCTAAAACGAAAACATAAATGAAATTGACAAACATTTCTTTCCGGAGACGAAGGTCGTTGATTCGTGGAGAAGCTGTGGAAAGTGAGTGGGTACTAGGTTGCCAGGAGTTAGCGGAGAGGGAGCGGGAGGAGGACGCTCTAGCCGCCCCTCTCCGGCGTAGACGGGTGGGCCGAAGAAGGTAGGCAGCGGTGACTGCCGGTCTTCGACGGCCCTAAGGTGGTCTGGGCGCGGCCTGACCAGCCGCGCGTCCTAGGTGCCGCTCCGGCATAGGCCACCACGTCTGGGGACTGCCTAGTACCCTAGCGCAGTCCCCCTGAGGCGCGTCGCCCGGTCCACTCGTTGGGCCGGGCCTGCCCGGGGGCGTGCTCGGAGATGTGGCGCACGCAGGTGCGTCGGCCCCGAGACCGCCCCCATATGGGCGTAGGAGGGTACCGGGGGGTTTTAGTGGAGTAGGATCAGTGTGGCCTTCCGCACTGGTCCTGCTTGAGTCGGGTCGGCACTGTTTCCCGTGCCGGCGAGTCCCACACACGCCGTGCGCCTAGTCAGCGTCTCGGTATGGCGCGTAACTGCATTTTCCCTCGTCACAAAAAAAAAAATATTGGGCCAGGGCCATATTCTTCAGCTACTTGGAAACCATGCATCCACTTGCTGTCGACAGGTTATCCACATATTAGTTTTATGTGTTCTCTAATCAGCGGTCTTATCGGATTTGTGAGTTGGATTCGGTTGATGCAAGACAATGGTCTGTTAGAATAAACAAGTTATATTGAAAGGGTTTTGAGTATTAAGCAATTTTCATGAATTTGAGCTTGAGACAATTCTTAATTTTATTGCAAGAATTTTGGTTTAAGATACGGTATCAAAAATGCAGATTAAACAAAACTATTGTAAACTTTATAATTTTATAGAATAGGGATGATGATGGGGAAAACAAACGAAATTGTATTTAGTCCGTCACAATGTTTCCACAATGAGGGGAAATTCCCCTTTTAAGGGGAAATTAGGGTCCAGAGGGGAAGAAAAAGGGGAAAGACATGAAAAGGGGAAATTATGGGTAAAGCACGGAACAATTTTTTTATGGAACGATACCGTGGACTAGAGTGTTGCCGTAAAAAAGAAATTGTGGTAACACGTGCAGATTTTATATATTTTATTTATCTCTTATAGAATAAGATACATTAAGACCTTTTTTTTCTTTAGTTACTACACTAGTGCCAAATCTAAAAACTACAGCAGAATAATTTTTGAGGGGAAAAAAGTCCTAAGAAGGGGAAATCTGAATTGAGGCGTGGGGAAAGGAAATCATTAAAGTGGAAACACTGGTCCGTCAGTATATTATCAGAAATTAATGGACACGTATTATTCGTATTGTCAATGAACACAAAAAATATAAAGTGCGCAAAGTTTGGGCGTCACATCTAAGTAAAAATCGACATGCGACTTTTCTAATCAATATATCTGTGTAGATTTAAGTAAATAAAGAAAAAAATATGTGTTCATATTTGTTTCTTAGGTTTTCACGCACATCACTCATTAAATAAAATTAGTTTTTTACGGGTTAATGCACGAAACTTTATTTATTTATTGACGTTTCAATAAATAAATAAAGTTTCGTGCATTAACCCGTAAAAAACTAGTTTTATTTAAATATGTGTTCATTAATCTTTGAACTTGAATTACCTGATATACGATAAAAAGGTAGTCATCATTCCTATTATCTAAATAAGCTCGTCATAAATAAAATCTTTATAAATATCAAACCAACTTTTTATCCAAATATGGCATAACTCACGTTGAAGTACCAGGTGAACTTTTCCACGGGTGGGTTGGCCTTCACCTCGCACTCCAGGTGGAGGCTGTCCAGCTCCACCAGCTCGTTGGGGTTCCCATCCCCGACCCTCGACACCTCCACGATCGGACTGTCTGTGAAAGGATGCAGAACAATAAGGATTTAATGGAATGAAGGCCGTCAGGTCGCAACACTGAGACGAAAGTTCTACTCATTCGTCAAATCAGCTATGACGTAATAGTCTACGGATTAATTTAAATGCTCGTTTGAATAATTCACGGCAAGAACTTCATACAAAAAACCTAATGTCACACTGGCCAATTGATGGCGTATTTTTTTCTAAACACCCTCATTACGCTTGCTATTTCTTTGCATTTTTTTTTGCATTTTATCAATCAATCAATTTATTTGTTCAGATATGAGTACATAATTTGGTGTTACATAAATAATATGTCCATTCATTTATTACCCTATCAAACTCCTCTACAAAATCCAAAATTGAATTAAATTTGATTGAAATTAAATAGCATTTTTTTTATGACATTTAAAAAATAGTAATAATCACATATCAATTAGGAAATTAAATATAAATTGTTCATAGGTCATTTAATAATAATTGAAATAATAATCATTAAATAAAATGAATGAAACTTTATATGTATGTATCTTTATATTCCTTCACTCATTTGTTTCATTGGTGATTGGTGATGATCGGTGATAACAGACCTGTTATTTGCTGAGATAAGCTCTTCCCAATTGTACAAGCCATTCAAATTATATCTTATTAAGTTTGCATTCCGCGTCGATGCACTCTAAACTGCTGACACAGTTGACCCACTAATTGTTTTAAGAACAATATTTTACATTAAATGACAGTGCAATAAAAGCATTCACATCATATTGACGTATTTTAATAATTATCTCTTGACTTTGTTTGCTTTTAGTTGTGGACAAAGTAATTTTGGCACCACCTAAGGACACAGGATTCATGGTAATAACCGGCCATGATATAACCCACTTAGTGCAAGTTCTAACAACTCAATGAGGGTTTCTGACAAAAAATTTGGTCACACATCTTATGGTCGGCCATTTAAAAAAATGCATAACTCCCATAATCGCAAAGGAAATGCTTGAACCTCTACTCTACCGAGTAATCCATTTTCTAAGTCAATATTCTAGTAGCGACAGACATTGCTGACAAAAGCTGTCCTATAAAGAGAACCGCTGACATGGCACACTGAGAGACTAATAAGCTGCTTCTGTACGTCTAATAGTCCAGTCAACAAGTTCAAAAACGTGAAAAATAGAGATAAAGCTCCTAAAAATATGAGCAATAGCTCATTGGATTCGGAACGACCTCTAGAAAAATGAGTTTTGAGGATTTTACTGCACGTAAAAAATTGCAATTGTTATTAACAAAATAAGATGAAAAAAAAGAGGTATTTACGTTTTTGTTAATAACTCATAAACTATTAATATTTACGATATTTGGAAAAAAGGTCCTTAAAGAGGAGGAAATTTCCGAAAAAAAAGTCCCAGCTCCCGGAACTCTACCTCTATTATTTATAATTTTAATTTAACGCTGAAAATAGGGCTCCGCGCAGCCATTACGGCATTGGCGCACTGCGGTTAAAGACAGTTTCTTACATAAAATTATTTTTTTATAGTAACAAATATGAATTTAAAAATTTAAATAAATTATGGTGTCATCCAGATACTTGAAAGAATATATTCCCGTTGGAAAAAATTTTTTAAATTAATTTTTCAAAAAGTTATGCAATTGTTAATTAACGAATTTTTTTCCTATCTCCGTTTTCATAAATGACAACATAAAAATTTAAATAATAAACCTATAAATTTTTGGCTCTGTGGAGCTCTTCTTATATATATACTTAACAAGATCCCGCGATAAAAGTTTATTAAAGTTAATTATTTTGTTTATAACAATTTTTTAAAGTTAACAAAAAATGAAAAGTCTAAGAAATGTTATTAAAAAAAATTTTTTAAACAAATGTTATATTATTGCTGCTTTCTTATCCAACAATGGCATTAAGTAACATCGGAAAAAAAATTTTTACATCATTTGTTAAGAAATTGTTTATAAACAAATAGACAAGTTTAATATTTAAAGAAATTTTTTTTTACCATTATGTTGTCTTGGCAAAATAATGATTTTTTAAAAAAAAATTTTTCTTAAATATTTTTTTTTATTGTTTATAATCGTTTTTTTTATGTTTCGATTGTTTAAATAATTAGTTAAGGAATGATTTTCTCTTTAAAAATCATAATTGGCATTTCTTCATAGGTAAATAGAAAAAAAAAAAAAATTTATCAATAATTTCATTGTTTGTTAACTTAACAATTTGTTATAAACAAATTCTAACTACCGTTATATTTTTTTTCTAGAGCTAAAAGAAATAACAAAAACAGCCATATATATCAAAATACTAAAAAAAATTTTTTTCAATTTTTATAACGCTTTTAAATATTACACGATACCAAAGTTGCACCGGACATTTGATTTGTCAAGTAAAAAATTAATATAACTTATAAACTATTCGAGATACGATAATGGACATTCAGGTCGTTTTTATAAAGCATTAATTAATCTTCAAAATAAGCTAAAAACCAAGTTTGTAACTATTGTTTATCAGCTAATACATGCATTTGTTTATAAAATTTTGAGATTTCTTTAACTTTTTCGTATCTCTTATGACTTACAACTTAATAAATAATTAAAATACAGCTATAAACCTTAAAACAATTTTGTTTAGCGATACATTATCTCCCAAGTTATCAATTAATCGTACCTCCATCTCTAATTGTTTAAACAATATACGTGATTTAATTAATATTTATTTAATATTTATCTAACACTTACCTTTATTTTGTAATTTTTTAATTTTCTCTACATTATTATAAGTTATTATAGCTTCTAAGTGAAACTGATTTTATCATTTATTTAAATAAATAGTTTCTTCGATGTCATAAAGTATTTTTTTTCATATTTTTTGTAGTTTGATCTGCCGTATCTTCTAAATTTTTACATGTTAACCATATTTTTATATATTTTATTATAATTAAATAGAATTACATTTATTGGTATGAAAAAAATATTAGAAATAATATTAGGATAAAATGGATTTATAAAATAAAAGACTGTTTTATAATAATAATTCTAAATATATTTGAGGAAATAATACAATGCAATAATACAAATTCAAATAGTTCGTTTCCTTCTTTTCTTTAAGGGAGCTTGCAGAACAGCTTGGTCTATCGAAGTTTTGAACTGAACTAGTTGACACCTTTTCTGTCATATTAGAGATGGAGGTACGATTAATTGATAATTTGGGAGATAATGTATCGCTAAACAAAATTGTTTTAAGGTTTATAGCTGTATTTTAATTATTTTTTAAGTTGTAAGTCATAAGAGATACGAAAAAGTTAAAGAAATCTGAAAAATTTTATTAACAAATGCATGTATTAGCTGATAAACAATAGTTACAAACTTGGTTTTTAGCTTATTTTGAAGATTAATTAATGCTTTATAAAAACGACCTGAATGTCCATTATCGTATCTCGAATAGTTTATAAGTTATATTAATTTTTTACTTGACAAATCAAGTGTCCGGTGCAACTTTGGTATCGTGTAATATTTAAAAGCGTTATAAAAAATAGAAAAAAATTTTTTTTAGTATTTTGATATATATGGCTGTTTTTGTTATTTTTTTTAGCTCTAGAAAAAAAATATAACGGTAGTTAGAATTTGTTTATAACAAATTGTTAAGTTAACAAACAATGAAATTATTGATAAAATTTTTTTTTTTTTCTATTTACCTATGAAGAAATGCCAATTATGATTTTTAAAGAGAAAATCATTCCTTAACTAATTATTTAAACAATCGAAATATAAAAAAACGATTATAAACAATAAAAAAAAATATTTAAGAAATTTTTTTTTTTTAAAAATCATTATTTTGCCAAGACAACATAATGGTAAAAAAAAAATTCTTTAAATATTAAACTTGTCTATTTGTTTATAAACAATTTCTTAACAAATGATGTAAAATTTTTTTTTCCGATGTTACTTAATGCCATTGTTGGATAAGAAAGCAGCAATAATATAACATTTGTTTAAAAAAATTTTTTTAATAACATTTCTTAGACTTTTCATTTTTTGTTAACTTTAAAAAATTGTTATAAACAAAATAATTAACTTTAATAAACTTTTATCGCGGGATCTTGTTAAGTATATATATAAGAAGAGCTCCACAGAGCCAAAAATTTATAGGTTTATTATTTAAATTTTTATGTCGTCATTTATGAAAACGGAGATAGGAAAAAAATTCGTTAATTAACAATTGCATAACTTTTTGAAAAATTAATTTAAAAAAATTTTTCCAACGGGAATATATTCTTTCAAGTATCTGGATGACACCATAATTTATTTAAATTTTTAAATTCATATTTGTTACTATAAAAAAATAATTTTATGTAAGAAACTGTCTTTAACGGCAGTGCGCCCATGCCGTAATGGCTGCGCGGAGCCCTATTTTCAGCGTTAAATTAAAATTATAAATAATAGAGGTAGAGTTCCGGGAGCTGGGACTTTTTTTTCGGAAATTTCCTCCTCTTTAAGGACCTTTTTTCCAAATATCGTAAATATTAATAGTTTATGAGTTATTAACAAAAACGTAAATACCTCTTTTTTTTCATCTTATTTTGTTAATAACAATTGCAATTTTTTACGTGCAGTAAAATCCTCAAAACTCATTTTTCTAGAGGTCGTTCCGAATCCAATGAGCTATTGCTCATATTTTTAGGAGCTTTATCTCTATTTTTCACGTTTTTGAACTTGTTGACTGGACTATAAGCACCTTTTATCTTAGATCTAAGTAATTAAGTATGCGTACGACGTTCTAAGTTTAAGACAGATATCAATTAGCAACTCTCAGTCTTCCTCGCGACGTCACATCACGAACACACACACACACACACGATTGTTATGAAAGATTAAAGTTATTATTGTCATTGCTGAGTTGCCGAGATCACGTCAAATGTAATTGAGTTAAACACGCTGAAGTCATCAGAAGTTTTGTGATGGGGGAGGAAATTTGGGGCACCTTTTATTGTT